TATATATATATATTTTAGACACTATATGTATACACTTGTTCCTTTCTGTGTGGGGTTTCTGGTGTGTTGTGTTGTGTGTAGTGACCAGTCGGGTGGTTACAGTAATTTTTTTAAATTATTTTTAATATTATTTGATGTATAATGTCATTTTTTAAATTATTTAGTTACATTTTATATTTTTATTTGGCTTAGATATATTTTTAGTTATTGTAAAATTAGGAATTTTGATTTTGATCCCTATAATTTTTTTCTTTGTTTTTCATTCTTCTAAATTTTACAAATATTATTTTTGGTCCTTTTAAAATAAAATATTTTCACCTTATAAATTTTTTTAATTTTCATCCCACTAAATTTTTAAGTCACTATATTTTATCCCTAATAATTATTTTTAGGTGGATGGATAACAAAGGATCTATACGAATTTTTAGAATTTTGAGTCACTCATTGATATGATATCACTAATATTATATGAAACACCTAGAATGTTCACTCAACATTTCAATAAACATAAGAAATAAAAACAATAATTTTAAATTTAGAAAGATGAAAAACATAATTTTTTTTATAGAGATTAAAATCAAAATCAATTGATTTTTTTAGAGACTAAAAATATTTTGTATTATTATTTTATTTTCAATCATTAATTTTAAAATGAGATAATATATTATAAGTGTTAAAATAATGTTTCATCAAAATACTTTAAAATATTTTAAAATTATATAAGTGATTATTCATATGTATATCCAAATATAATAATTTATTAAATTTTAAACACTTATAACATAAATTTTTATTATATAAAAAATTATTAAATAAGATTCCAAATAAGTTAATTGTCCAAACGAATCCTCAAACATATTAAAAAAAATTGCTTTTAATGATGCCAACCATGTCAATTTATTTTTTAGTAAATACCAATCATGCCATATAAAAAATACAAATATATATTTTTTTCAATACATGTGTTAATATTTTGAAAATAACATTGTTTTTGTTAATATGGGAGTGGTTTACTTCCTTTTTGTACGTCTGTCGACTGATGCAGTGATGCCTCTAATTCTAATATCTCTTTCATTGGATAGTTTTTCGTTTGGGCTTTAGCCCCTTTTTTAGGAAAAATAAAAAAAAAATCATTGCCCTTATTTTTTTTGAGACAAAGTTACTATTTGTGAAAGGACGAAGGCCATGAGGCCACCGAAGGCAAATATACTCGTACTCGCAGGTAATACTCGAACCCGTCCCGACTTTGATAAGGAATACCCGGTTTGATCGGGTACGGGTAAAATCCGATATATTAAATTGGGTA